AAGTGTGAAGGCACAGGGAAAGGGTTCTTTAACTGCCAGAATTCGAGAGGCCCTGTCCATTTTGCTCCCTAGGACACCAAAGCTTCAAAGTGAGTTGTTTCTCCTTGGTGTTCCCAGCACTGCCCCATACAGGCAGGACCAGTACAGTGGTCAAATCTAGGATCTGGGCTTTCTCCCTGAGACTGTTTAGGACATCAGCAGATCCCCAGAAAGAGTACAAGTCTGAGTTCTGCTCACACTCTGATTGCCACTTTGGGAGGCATTCCTGATCAGCAGCTCTTCCCTTACTCTCTAAGGGCCACAGATGGTGCTGTTTGAACACCTCCTTGGACTCAAAGTCCCTCTTCTGCCTTTTCTTCATTCATCATGGTGGGGCCATGACCCGAGGATCACAACTTCCCATTCAACGTCTAGGTGGAAATTTCCACTGGGGACTTTTCTGGGTACTACTGGAGACTGAAAGTTGTTAAGAGTGAAGGTGTTGGGCACCAGCACCCAGGGCCTGTCTCTTAGCTCTGACGAGGACTCTGGCCAATGTGTTTGCTTCTGTCAGCTTCAGTCTGTTTGTAAACTGAGGGAAATACCATGTGCTTCTGTGAGGTGGCTCTACAGGATAAGATGTGTCGCAGAGGGGTTCAGCTTGACAATGCTTGGCACATAGTTTGCACCTGACTTTATTGCCTTCAATTCAATCAATCATCAGAATTTATCCTTGACCTCAGGCCAGTGTGATGAACATGACTATACTAGCTGGTGTTTATCTATTTTGATTTTCTGTTCGGAATGTATTTTCTCACTGTCTCTCTTGAGGGAATGGAGTTCTGCTCTTGGAGAGGATTTCTGCCCACAGACTCATGCGCCTTTGCTTCTTGGTCATTCTGTACCCCGGCCTGGTTCCATTCATTTGTACTGTCAAGGGGCCTGGTTTATCAGCTTGAACCTTGAGTCTCTCTCTCTCTCTCTTGGTAGACCTGAGTCCTGGAAAGGCAGGACACTCCACTGTGCTGGTCTCAGATGCAGTCTTGAGACCCAGCACTGTACTAGCTTCGCTAAGGATGAAGTGAAAACAGTGACCGAGGCTGAGGAGACAGCTCAGTCAGTAAAGTGCTCTGCAAGCATAAGGACCTGAGTTCAAGCCCCAGAAGTCACATGAAAATGTTGGAAGCACTTGGGCATGCTTGTAATCCCAACACTGGGGAACTAGAGAAAGGAAAATTTCTTAGCTTGGTTGCTTCCTTCCTACCAGCTTAACTGGTAGGCTCCACTCCAATTAAAGAGCCTGCCTCCAACAACAAATGTATGGACTCTGAGAAACAACACCCAAGGTTACCCTTTGGCCTTATACCACACACACACATTTTAAAATGGTGGGAATGGTGAGGAGGAGCCCTGAGTGAATGGCGGAGAGAGCTTCAATGGGCAAAAGCGGATTTGGTCACAATGCTCTTTTCTTTCCAAAAGACTTTCTGGGTAACTTTCAGCTATTTGGAAGTTATTCTTGGGAAGGTTTAATGCTTTGGCACTTCCTGGTCCTTTTTTCTCTCTGTTAATCCTTTTTGACCTATGAAAATGCTAATTTAATGAGTGCAAATTGGCCAGAGAGGGTTGGCTCACTATATCCATTCAAAAATGTGATTCGAGGAAGGAATTGCAGTCAGTTCAACTGCTGTTATTTATTAAGGAACTCAGTAAAGCTCCACCCTCTTTGTCTTGAAAAGCAAATGTTCTGTGGTCTTTGTCAGTTGATTGACAGCATTAGTCATAAGGCACAATCAAACATTAACTGGACACACAAATTGCTTCTCATGAGCCATGAGCAAGCCTGAGTAGACCTGTGGCGGCGGAGGCGGAGGAGGTACCATGACTGTGCTGTGCTGGAGATCACATTTGCTTCTGCTCTTGCTGTGCCTTCAGCTGTGTGTGTTCGGTCCCTCAGGGTCCCACGCTGGGAAGCTGCTGCTGTTCCCTATGGATGGCAGCCACTGGCTGAGCATGCTTGGAGTTATTCAGCAGCTCCAGCAGAAGGGGCATGAGGTAGTGGTCATAGCGCCTGAAGCCTCAGTGTACATAAAAGAAGGACCGTTTTATACTTTAAAGAAGTACCCTGTGCCATTCCAAGTTGAAAACGTGACAGCTTCTTTTGCAGAACTTGGGCACAGTGCCTTTGAGCAGGATCCTTTTCTGCTGCGTGTGGTCAAAACATACAAGAGAGTCAAAAGGCAATCTGCTATGCTCCTGTCCGGCTGTTCCCACCTGCTGCACAATGCCGAGTTCATGGCCTCTCTGGAAGAAAGCCACTTTGATGCTCTACTGACAGACCCTTTCCTTCCTTGTGGCTCCATTGTGGCCCAGTTCCTGGCTCTGCCTTCTGTATACTTCTTGAATACATTGCCATGTGGCCTGGATTTGGAAGCGACCCAATGCCCCGCTCCTCTGTCCTATGTGCCCATAGGTCTGTCTTTAAACTCAGATCGCATGAATTTCCTGGAGCGAGTGAGGAACATGCTCTTTGCTTTGTCACAGACCTTTCTATGCAGTGTGGTTTATTCTCCCTATGCGTCACTTGCCTCAGAGATCCTACAGAAAGAGATGGCTATCAAGGACCTTCTGAGCCCTGCATCTATCTGGCTGATGAGATATGACTTTGTGAAAGATTACCCCAAGCCGATCATGCCTAACATGGTTATTATTGGTGGGATAAACTGTCTTCAGAAAAAGCCTGTATCCCAGGTGTGTATTTGAGTGGGGTCTTTCCATGCCTGTATTCTTTGGGGAAGGAGCTTCCCATAGGTATGTGTTGAGCTCAGAGAGCATGCTGGGGTGTTTTCAAGTGCTCTGTTTTTATTTCTAACTCCTGTGTTGCCCAGTCTTGAATTTGTCTTTGGCATCCTCTTCTGACTTACCACTTTGTATACAGCATTTTGGGAAAACATATTTTGGCATTTTTTTTTTCCTGAGAAATTCAGTTTAACGCAACCAGCATTAACTGTCAGAAGACCCGCCATGTTTGGGACACTTCTTAGAGAACAGAGCTGTGTGCTTACCCTTGATTGGAACTAGTGCTCTTGATTCAGGCACTGGTAGCTCAAGTCTGAATCAATAGTTTTTTATAGGTCCTGACAGGAGACACTACCTTTATGGTCCTCGTTAAAGTTCTAATGTCTAGATAACCTAACAGGAAGTTCAGTCCTGCAGCCTTCCTCTTCTTCCAGTAGGGCAAGGTGTCATCTCTCTGTCTGAGCAAGAGACAATATTGGTGAAAGAGAGCAATTCAGAGACCACAGTCGTATGTGTTAGACTTGAAGTAAACAGCCAACAGGAGGCCAGAGATGTAAAGATACTGAGGGAAGAGGCAAAGCATAGAGGAAGGCGAGGGAAAGGCTTCCGACAGGTAGTTCAAATGGATTCTCATGTTTTGTTCAGAGCTTAGAACTAACCATGCAGCTTTCAGTAGAATGTAGCAGATATTTAAAGGTCTCATCAGCTTGGGGGTGGGGTGGAGGTGGGGAGTACCCCCAGAGAGGAGAAGGCCTTTCTTTTGAATAATTTATCATGTTTAGAAAGAAACACATCAGAGAGCAAAGATTATTTGCAGTTACTATGTTGCCTCACTGGTTGTCCCAAAGATGGTGATGTGGCAAGTTTTGGTCATATTGTGCCAAGTAGAGAGGACTAACCTTTATTGACTCCACAAAAGTTGATACAGAGTCATTGACCATCCTGCCTCTGTGGCTCTGTACACAAACTGTGTGTCAGTTAAGCCTTAGTTTATGACCCTGCAGATACAGAGTCATTGACCATCCTGCCTCTGTGGCTCTGTACACAAACTGTGTGTCAGTTAAGCCTTAGTTTATGACCCTGTTTATGCTGTTTATGACCCTGCAGATCTGATTTTGTGCTAATCAAATACTACTGGCTGCTGAGTAGGTGTGGGAGGGCATACAGGATGGGGGAAACTAGATTGTACTCTTTTTAGATAGGGTTACATGTGTCTTGAAGGAGCAAAAGTTCTAGAATGTAGGTGAGCTATGTGCTATCTAGAGGTAGAAGGAAAGCAAAGGGCGCTAGGGTGGGAGCTGCCTGTCACCAGGAAACACGTGCATGGGGAAGAAAGGCTTCAGAGCAACGGAGCCCAGGATGCTCTTGACACAGATGAAAAATCCAGACCAGTGACGGAAAAGCCTGGTCTGGCCTCTCTGACTCTCTAGATGGTCCCAGTGTGTGGGATCAAGGTGCCACTTCTCTGATGATCCAGGGAATTGCAGGGTCCCTCAGGTGGGTGGGGAGAGGGGTGTTCCCGTGGAAAGGCTACCCGGTGTGTAGGATCCTGATTTGTTCAGGACAGAGCTTGGTAGCAGTCTCTCTGTATCTTTCATGTAGAGGGATCGGGATATGGTTTGCCCAGGAATATTTAGAGTTCAGTAATAAAAGCATCACATTCCAAGCAGCTCCTCAGCTGAAACCTGTCACATCACACCATCACGTCAATGTGCTTCATATTTTTTGACCTCTTACATCACATCATCACGTTTGTGCTCTCCAGGTTCTTTGGAAACATCTGAATCCATCTGAGAGATGTTTTTGTGATTAGTTAGCTTGTCAGTAACGTGCGGTAGGGAGAATTGCCAGGCCTCTGAGTGTCTGTCTGCTGTGTGGGGCCACAGGTGGGAGTATGTATACGGACGTACGTCACTTTTCATGGGTGCACATTTAAGTGTATGCACCCTTATATATGGACCTCTGCTGCTCTTATGGGAAGTCAGCATATTACCTGGATTCTGAATCTCTAGGGAATCCCACTGATGGCCCTGTAAGCAGCAAATCCTCCTGAATTGTCAGGGGACAAGGAGACAGAGTTGCCGTGATGACTTTTTGTTCGTTACATCCACCACTTCACTGACTTCCATAAAAGGAAAGTATGTAATTGTAGCCTGTTGTGTTCAGCTGCCATGGAATGTGAGAAGCAAGGGATGAATTGGAGATTTCTTTTTCTGCTCTAGGAGTTCGAAGCCTACGTCAATGCCTCTGGAGAGCATGGCATCGTGGTTTTCTCTTTGGGATCCATGGTCTCTGAAATTCCACAGAAGAAAGCCATGGAAATCGCTGAGGCTTTAGGCAGAATTCCTCAGACGGTAAGATATCTGTTCATATCCTTCATATCTGTTTTCATGAGAATGTTAATTCCAGACATAGGGGTCTAAGTGCAGAAGTTTGGCCTTTGGAAATCCTTTGCCATTCCACAATTTGTTGTTGTTGTTGTTGTTATATTTCACAATCTTATTTAGGTACATGGTCTTCCGCACTCACATTTGTCATTTTCTCTAGGAAACTCCAAAGTATTAGGGAGAATTTGGTTAAAATAAGCAGAATATTGTTTTTTCATATCAATAAAGAATGTTTCTCCAAAAATATTTTATTTTGTTTGTTCCTACTTTGATAGTTTTGCATCCACTTACTTTCTTAAGAAAGTTTCCCTTTGCAGTGGAGCAAAGTGAAGAAATCTTTAGTGCCTGCGTTGGTGGTTTTTACTCTGCCTCAGCAAGCTTCAGCATCAAGAAGCTGTGTTGCACTTCAGCTCCAGGGCCCTTCTATACACAAACCTCCCACCATGCAGAGGCCATAGGTGTTCTCACTCATGAGATTGGCCTTTCTAGCTAGTATAGGAGATTTTTTTTTTTTTTTGTCACAACGTTCTTTTATTAAACCATGTGCTTCTTGTCCCTGTAAGGTCCTATGGCGCTACACTGGAACTAGACCATCGAATCTTGCGAAGAACACAATACTTGTCAAATGGCTACCCCAAAATGATCTGCTTGGTAAGTGGGCAGCCTCTGACCTGCAGGTCAAACCAGAGCTAAGTTAAGAGAAACGACAGGCATAGATGCTCTAAATGATTGTGCAGCGTGATTGTGGCCAACACACATCACACACATCACCCCCTGCCCTGAGTGTCAGCAAAGGTCGCATGTAGATGACAGTCCTTGAGGGGTTTTTAGAATCTAGACATCATCAGGCTGGAGAACTCAGTATCGCTGTCTGTTGTGCTTCTCAGCTCATCCAAAGGCTCGTGCATTCATCACCCACTCTGGTTCCCATGGAGTTTATGAAGGAATATGCAATGGCGTGCCAATGGTGATGATGCCCTTGTTTGGTGATCAGATGGACAACGCCAAGCGCATGGAAACTCGAGGAGCTGGGGTGATGCTGAATGTCCTTGAAATGACTGCTGATGATTTGGAAAACGCCCTAAAAACCGTCATCAATGACAAGAGGTAAGTAACAAACAAGGGAAACAAAACAAAACAAACATTATTTGCAGCATTTACAATTAAGATAACAGCACAACAACTAATACATAAATATTTAGATAAATCTAGATAATGTGGGGAGTTATTTCTACTTGTAAAATGACTTTATATTTTATCGTAGAATTCATTAAAAATGTTAAGTGTTCCTCTATTAAAAACCTTAGATTAAAAATAATGTCACCATAGTAAGCATCTCATTTCTAAAATCCAAAGTAATGTCTCATCAAAAGATCTTTAGGCACGGTGCTGGAGAAATGGCTTCGTGGGTAAGAGTACTTGCTGTGTAAGACTGAGGACTGAGTTCAACCCCAAGCACTTATGTGAAAGACCAGGCCTCAGCACAGTGGAAGGCAGAGGCAGGAGAATTGCCAGTGCTTATTAGACACCGGCCTAGATCCAGACCTAGTGAGAAACTATCTCAAAGAAACAAGGTGAAGAGTGAGAGAGCAGAACATTGTCTTACGGCTTTTGAGTGAATACATAAGTGCATGTGCGTGTACACACCTTACCCCACCCCCAGCCACACACCCCACACACCCCACACACCCCACACACCCCACACACCCCACACACCCACTTGGTCTCTTCTTGAAATTTAGTGTATCAATACTAAGGTTACTGGAACTATTTTGCTTTAAAATGATGCGAAGACCGACATGGTGACAGATACTTGTCTTCTCAGCATTTTGGTGACAGACAGGTGGATTGCTACCAGTTCAAAAAGATTTCAAGGCTAAATGGCTAAGTCTAGGCCAGCGGGGGCTACATAGCAAGAATCTGTCTTAAGATGAAACCAACCAACCAAACACAAACACCCAACAGTATAACCTGAGACAACAATTTGTAAGGTGGGGAGGTAGAGCTATGGCTCAGCAGTTCAGAACACTTGCTGTTCTTCGCAGATCCTCAGTTTGTTTCCCAGCTCTGGGGAAATCCAGTGCTCCCTTTTGGCCTCCGTGGGCACTTCACTCATGTGCATACACATGTAGAAAGACATGTACATATTAACACAATAAAAAATAAGAATAAAATCTTAAAAGTAAGAGCACAAAGTCTGATAAGAAGAGAGGATGGCCAGTGGTAGACATAACTCAGCAACAGTGTGTGGCCTGTTTATGAGAATGTGTGTGTAAAAAGAATTTCAGGCACGTTGTCTTTGTCTGTTTTCTGTTGCAATAGCAGAATGCCCAGAATCCATGATTTATGAAGGGTTAAAGTTTATTTGGCTCACAGTTCTAGAAGTTGTTGAGAAGTCCACAGTGAGGCAGCTACATCCTGAAGGCTCTTATGCTGCCTCCTCACATGGTAGAAACCTGGAGGTTCAAAGGATGTGCATATGCAAGAGAGGAAACACAAGTGACATCATTGCCTGATCTCAGTCTGCTCTCACAGTGACAGATTCTAGCTCTGGGACAAAGGCCACCACCTCTCTCAGTGGCTTCTCACCTCCTAAAGGTCCCATCACCTCTCTGTACCTTCACATTGGGGATCAAAATTCCCACCTATGAGCCTATGGGCAACATATTCAAACACATTCTTTAATACATAGTTGATTCCTCTTCAACTTAATCTTACCATAAAGGTAAGGTATAATAGAATTGCCTACAAAGAAATCACTAAAAAGCAAAAAAACAAAACAAAACAAAACAAAAAAAACAAAACAAAACAGGAAACTAGGTTTAAATATTTATACGTGTTTTGTTTTTGTTTTTGCTCTTTCCTTCCTCCCCTCTTCCCTCTTTCCTCCCTCTCTTTCTCCACTCCACTGTCTATCTCTCCTTCTCCTTTTTAGATGTAAAGAATATGTGGGGGTGGTGTTCTTTTCTGGTTTTAATAAAAACATGCTTCTCTACTTCACTGAAGTCAAGTTTATGGGGCTACTGTCTGTTGCATGGTATTCCGAATACTAACAACTGCTTTGTGTTCAGCTACAAGGAGAACATCATGCGCCTCTCCAGCCTTCACAAGGACCGCCCTATAGAGCCCCTGGACCTGGCTGTTTTCTGGGTGGAGTTCGTGATGAGGCACAAGGGGGCGCCACACCTTCGTCCGGCTGCCCATGACCTCACCTGGTACCAGTACCACTCCTTAGATGTGATTGGCTTCCTCCTGGCCATTGTGTTGACAGTGGTCTTCATTGTCTTTAAATGTTGTGCCTTTGGCTTTCGGAAATGCTTTCGGGGAAAGGGGCGAGTTAAGAAATCACACAAATCCAAGACCCACTGAGAAGCAGGTGGGAAGTGAAGGGGAAGTATCGGTCTCTTATCCAATCTGTTTGAAACTTGGAAACAGAATCAGTGTTAAATTCACTTTGTTTTTATTGGGGAAATAATTTGCCATACATTATACGCCCAGAACAGTTTTAAAAAAATAAAAATTATCTAATTACTGGCCACACCAATCAGGGAAGGTACTAGAATATGTGACCTGGTTCTCCAGTATCTTCAGTCTCTGGACAACACTTGCCGCATGTTACTAACAGAAAGTTTAGCACTCTGCCTGCAACGACAGCCCCATAGTTTTCCCTCTCGCTTCAGCTGATGGCTTCCTCACCTGGATTCTCAGGCTGTTGTGGCTTTCCCCAGTGCTAGTCATTCCTCACTGTGCTCATGCGTTGTGGATGGCACAGCCTGTGTAGCTAGGGGGAAAATAAGGCTGTGACACTGATGGTAATGTGTCTTGAGATGATGACCATTGCTTGTGAGAAGCGGGTCTGAATTTGATGAAAACCAGGATATAGTCTTCAGCAAGTACAACTTCTGTATTGTTTCCCAAGCCAAGCACTTATTAATAAATTAATATAAATTGAATTCGTTTTTTCTCTTCATTGGTGTTATATTTATGTGTTATCAAAGCGTACCCTCCAGAAGAGATTCACACATACACACAAAGAATCACCTGTAATTACATTGCTCGTTAAGAACCATGGTTGCTGCCGCAGTTTTGATTCTGAATCTTCCAAAGGTGTGTGTGATGGTGGCTTGATCCTCAGCCTAAGGCACCACTAGTAAGTTGTGCAACCGTTAAGAGAGGGTCCAGTGGGAAGAAATTTGGTCTTTGGGGGTGTTCCTTTGAAGGGGATGTTGGGTTACAAACTCTCTCTTTCTCCCTCTGTTCCCTTGCTGTCATGAAACAAGAAGCTTCAGGGACACCATCCCTGAGTGTTCTCCTATTTTGCACAGGTCCCAAAGCAGCATGACCACATGACCAGAGATGGAAACTTCTGTAGCTACCCAAAAATAAACCTTTGCTCATGAGTTGCTACATATTAGGGATTTGTGACAGTAACAGAAAGCTTATTGACATGGTTATTGTTTTGAAAAAATGCACATAAAACATTGCAGATACACCAGATATTTTGTGACATTCTGCATTGTTCAATTTTGCAGTGGTATAATGAAATGCCCAAGACAAGTAACTTACACAGAGAAAAGGGTTGTTTACAGGCTTAGAGGTTCAAAGATTACCCTGCGTCGGCTTAGTTTTGTGAGGGCAGCAGAAGGTGGCATGTCATAGCGCGAACATATACAAGAACAAACCAGGAATTATTGCTTGCACTAGGAACAGAGAATGGAGTCTGTAGTATCACAATAACCTCAGGAAAATCCCCCAATGACCTAAGGACTTCCTAATAGGCCCTACCTGTGAAAGGTTCCCCTGCTTCAGAGCCATACACTCTGGGACCAAGCCCTTATTGCATGGCCCTTTGGAGGCATTCCATATTTAAGCCGTATAACCTAACCCTGGCTCCAAAAGTTCGTGTCCACTTTACAATTGAAAAATGGATTAATGCCAGGCCTTAATCTCAAGAGGCAGAGGCAGACAGATTCTTGAGTTGGAGTTCATTCTGGTCCACAAAGCAAGTTCCAAGACAGCCAGGGCTACACAGAGAAGCCCTATCTCAAGAAAAAAAAAAAACAAAAATTGATGACAATGACAACAAAAGCAACATGACAACGATGATGATAGATTAATTTTCTGTCCAGAGCTAGTACCAAAGTCTACTGTTGTAGCACAGGTTGGCAGCCCAAGGTCTCATCAAGACTCATTAGAGTTATGAGCCTCTGTAAAAGAGACAACTGAACAAAAACTAAATAAAACCAAATACCAAATCACATACAAAATTGGTAAAGGCCAGACATCAAGTAAACATCCCCTGTTCTGAAAGGGAGTCATGGAGAAATAAAAAGAGGCATCATCCCCCAAACAAGAAAAGGGCAAACATCCAACACCAAAGATCTTTGGTATCATGGGTGCGCTATGGTGGGGTTGTAGGCTCCCAAAGGGCATGGTCATTTCCACTTTGGTGGCTTTGGAGGTTGCATCCCATGTGTCTGCATTCTCAAAGTGTTTTTCACACTGACTGGATCTTTCTCTCACAGGTGTGGCAGGCTGATATCATCTCTTCCTTCCTTGGGTCTTTATTCTGGCTTTGGCTTTTCCCCCTCAGCACCACTATTTATCACTGCATTGGGTGTTCCAATCTGGCTGGACAGCTCTGCCTGGTTTTCCAGGCTTTGAGATCTGGTTGAAACCTCCATGACCCCATAACTTGGAATCTATGAAACTGCAAAACCACATCCGATGGATGACATTTGGGTCTTTTGCTAGCAAATATGGAATGAAGGCTGGATGGATGCTGAGAAGTAAAGCCTGAGTAGCCATGGAAACATAAAGCCCCCTGGATCTCTCTCCTGGAACCATTCTTCCTAGAAAAAGCTTGAAACAGAGTTTATCTGGCTTGAGCTTGCACAGGCCTCATGCATGCTGTCTTAGCTGCTTTGATTTTGTATGTGAAGCTTCCGTGCTATGTCCAGGAAACACTGTGTTGTTGTACTCATCCATCTCCTCTGACTCCTACAATCTTTTTGTTCCCCCCTCCACAAAACCCCCTGAGCTTTGGAAGGAAGGTGTATGATGTAGATGTCCTCTGTGTATCTGAGCATTCTAAAGTCTGTTATTTGCTGCATCTTGACCAGTTGTGGGTCTTTGTGTTCATCATCATCTACTACAAAAAGAAGCTTATCTGCCGAGGGTTGAGAGATCCACTAATCTATGGGTAGAGCAGCACATCATTGGGAACAAGTTTAATGCTATGTGCATTTTGCATAGCCAGAAGTAGTAGGCTCACTCTTAGAACTATGACCTGTCTAGTCACAGGATCTTGGACTTGAATTAGTGCCAGGTATAAATTTGAACTTATGGAGTGGATCTAAACTTCATTCAGGAAGTGCTTGGTTGCTCCTGTGGCATTCTTGCCACCATTGTACCAGTGAGTATGTCTTGCCTGGCTAGGCATTATTGTAGCGCATAGTGTTCATAGCTAAGGTAGGATTGGTGATTATTTTCTCTGCCTTCCATCATTATGAAAATTAGCCAGAAGGAGTGAAGCTTCTGAAAGAGTACTAGCTTGAGTTTTTTGTGTTCTGTGACTCAAGTATGTGGTGTATTCAACAACTGTGCCTTGCCATCAAATTCTGGAAATTATCAAGAGCATTGGCCATAGCCTGTAATGTTTGGGAATCCAGAAGAATCTCAGTGGCCAACAACTCTTAATGTACAAATAAAAAAACATACCAAGAAAGAAATCATGGGAATACTTCCATCCATAATAGTCTCAAAATATATTAGAATAGACAGACATGGTGGTGTACGCCTGTAATTCCAGCACTCAGGGAGGCAGAGGCAGGTGGAACTCTGAGTTTGAGGCCAGCCTGGTCTACAAAGTGAGTCTGGGATAGTGAAGGCTACACAGAGAAACCTGTCTTGAAAAAATAATATATATATATATACATATACATATATATATATATTCATATATACATATATATGAATGAATCTAACCAAGGAAGTCTAAGACTCATACATGAATACTTAATACAAAGAAAAGAGAAGTGGAAGAAAATACCAGGAGATGAAAAGACTTATGTTCATAGATTGGCGGGATTAATATTGAGAAAAATAGCCATTTCACCAAAAGCCATCTACAGATTCATTGCAACCCATCAAATTTCCAATGCAATTTTTTACAGAAATTAAAAAAAAAAACTAATCTTAAATTTTATATGGAAACCCAAAGATCCAGGATAGCTGAAACAATCTTGAGCAATAAAAATACTGTGGGAAGTATCATCCTTCCAGATTTCAAGTTAATAGTCCAGAGTTATAGTAATAAGGGCAACATGGTCCTGGCATTAAAACAGACACCTTAAATAATGGAACAGAAGTGAGGGTGCAGATATATGTCCATATACTTTTTTTGAGACAGGGTTTCTCTGTGTAGCCCTAGCTATCCTAGACTTGCTTTGTAGAACAGTCTGGCCTCGAACTCACAGAGATCTGCCTGCCTCTGCCTACCTGAGTGCTGGGATCACAGGCCTGCACCATGGCACCCCACTAAGTTCATACACTTAAAGCTACTTTTTTTTTTTTAACAATGAAGCCAACAACACAACAACAAAGAAAGAAAGCACCTTCTACAAATGATGCTGGTCAAACTGGATACCTACAGGTAGAAAAGTGAAGGTAGATTTTTACGTCCCATCCAGCACAAAATTCATCTCCAGATGGATTGCCATAAGACCTGAATAGCCTGTTATTTTTAAGGTCAGCTTTGTTCAAAGTCACAGTGCACAGAGTATAACCAAATTATGTTGATTCTTTCCCCAAATTACCCACAGCACTTGTCATAGAGCATTGTAAAAGCCTTCTCTATCATTCTTTTCCAAATTTACCCATTACTCAATTCTAACAGTTCTTCCAGCATTTGGAGAGCAATGATTTCACTCTTGGTACCAGTTTTCTCTCTACATTATCTTCATGTTACTATAAGGAAACATAGAAAGCAGTTAACTGATGAGTAGGAGATTTATACAACCTATACATTTTGGTTCATTTCTTAGCTTTTAGTACCCAACAAAGCAAAGGTAGAAAACTTAATGGAGTAGCAATACAAAAGAGTGGATTGCATGTGAATCTAGCATCATTGTCCTAATCTAAAAAGAAATCTAAAAAGGAAATTTGTGCTTGGAAAACCAACATAGCCCACGAATTCCTCACCAGCCTCATTGTCCTAGTGTCCTCTAGGCACTAGAGATTCAAACTAGGGTCCTTATTCTCATGCAGCAAGTACCACAACTCACTGAGCCATCTCTGCAGTCTGGAACTCATGGTTTAACCCTGTAAGTTCCTTGGAGTAGGAATGAGATGGTATGAGGAGTCACGTGTTTCCTGATGTTAGAAGTGGGCAAGTAGAGGAGGAGGAATTCTGCCCTGGTTTGCTTTCTAATGTTGTGATAAGCACCACGAACAAAAGCAACGTGGGGAGAAAAGAGTTTCGTTTGTTTATACATTCCAATCACAGTCAGTGAAAGGAAGCCAAGGCGGGAACCCAGAAACAGGAACTAAAGAAGAAGCCATGGAGGAATGATGCTTGTTCTCATGGCTTTCTCAGAATGCTTTTTTAATATAACCCAGGACCACTTTATCAGGAGTGGTACTTCCCACAGTGGGCTTGGCCCTCTAATATAATTCATTAATCAAGAAATGACTCTAGTGCTGGAGAGATAGCTTGACTGTTAAGAGTACTGGCTGCTCTTACAGTGGTTCAATTCTCAGCACCCACATTGTGGCTCACAACCTTCTTTAACTCCAGTTCCAGGAGATCCATTATCACCTTCTGAGCTCCATGGGCACAAGACTCTCATATGTTGCACAGATATTATATGTACACAAAACACCCATATACACAAATAAGATAATTTTTAAAGACTTAAAAAAAAAAGATAATGTCCCACAGACTTGCCTACAG